ACTCGTTCAAAGGCAGTATTAGCCGCGAATTTAAGATCAATATTGAGTAGTTTATATTCTTAGGTCCCCCCTGAAGCACTAGTTTATATTCTTAGGTCCCCCCTGAAGCACTAGTTCATATTCTTAGGTCCCCCCTGAAGCACTAGTTCATATTCTTAGGTCCCCCCTGAAGCACTAGTTCATATTCTTAGGTCCCCCCTGAAGCACTAGTTTATATTCTTAGGTCCCCCCTGAAGCACTAGTTCATATTCTTAGGTCCCCCCTGAAGCACTAGTTCATATTCTTAGGTCCCCCCTGAAGCACTAGTTTATATTCTTAGGTCCCCCCTGAAGCACTAGTTTATATTCTTAGGTCCCCCCTGAAGCACTAGTTTATATTCTTAGGTCCCCCCTGAAGCACTAGTTCATATTCTTAGGTCCCCCCTGAAGCACTAGTTTATATTCTTAGGTCCCCCCTGAAGCACTAGTTCATATTCTTAGGTCCCCCCTGAAGCACTAGTTCATATTCTTAGGTCCCCCCTGAAGCACTAGTTCATATTCTTAGGTCCCCCCTGAAGCACTAGTTCATATTCTTAGGTCCCCCCTGAAGCACTAGTTCATATTCTTATGGTCCCTGAAGCACAAGTTCATATTCTTATGGTCCCTGAAGCACAAGTTCATATTCTTATGGTCCCTGAAGCACTAGTTCATATTCTTATGGTCCCTGAAGCACTAGTTCATATTCTTATGGCCCCTGAAGCACTGGTTCATATTCTTATGGTCCCTGAAGCACTGGTTCATATTCTTAGGTCCCCCCTGAAGCACTAGTTCATATTCTTATGGTCCCTGAAGCACTGGTTCATATTCTTATGGTCCCTGAAGCACTGGTTCATATTCTTATGGTCCCTGAAGCACTGGTTCATATTCTTATGGTCCCTGAAGCACAAGTTCATATTCTTATGGTCCCCTGAAGCACTGGTTCATATTCTTATGGTCCCTGAAGCACTGGTTCATATTCTTATGGTCCCTGAAGCACAAGTTCATATTCTTATGGTCCCTGAAGCACAAGTTCATATTCTTATGGTCCCTGAAGCACTGGTTCATATTCTTATGGTCCCTGAAGCACAAGTTCATATTCTTATGGTCCCTGAAGCACAAGTTCATATTCTTAGGTCCCCCCCTGAAGCACAAGTTCATATTCTTATGGTCCCCTGAAGCACAAGTTCATATTCTTATGGTCCCCTGAAGCACAAGTTCATATTCTTATGGTCCCTGAAGCACAAGTTCATATTCTTATGGTCCCTGAAGCACAAGTTCATATTCTTATGGTCCCTGAAGTAGAGGTTCATATTCTTATGGTCCCTGAAGCACAAGTTCATATTCTTATGGTCCCTGAAGCAGAGGTGAACACTTTTGCCTATTCTCGGGGGTCCAAGTCTTAAGACAAAGCGTAAGTCGTCTGTAAGAATAGTGTACAAAGTGTCTTACAGTTTGGTGATAACTGGAAGAGAACGCGAGAACGCTTCGTGAATGACTTGTGGCTGTCTTAAGATAGGAGAGAGATAGAGAGCTCCGGGGGTGATCCGTCTTGCTTAGCCGGGGTTACGCGCTCTATATTCGTGGTAGCTGTGACTGTCACCTGTCAATCACTGTCTAGGGTGACGGGGATTCGTGTCACAGGTCGTGTTTGAGACTATTGATAGATACGTGTGTGTGTGTGTGTGTGTGTGTGTGTGTGTGTGTGTGTGTGTGTGTGTGTGTGTGTGTGTGTGTGTGTGTGTGTGAGTGATAAATATATATGTAGCAGATATTATAGAGGAAAATTTATCGGATGTTCAGTACATCAGATAACCGACGATTAGAAAGGGTGTGAGCTAATCTAATTAGCTCTTGGGCTAATTAGATTAGTCCAAGAGCTAACAGCTCGGTCCTATCAGCACAAATAGCAAACACCCACGTGGTTGCAATCGTCGCCATTATCTGCAACTGATAGTACGATTGTCTTAAACACCTGTGTTGATCCTTCAGGTGTTTGGGGGGGTTTGGGGAAGAAACAGAAAACGATACGTGGGTTATCTAGTGCAATTGCGATATCTAGAACATCTAAATCTAAACCACATTAGAAGGCTTTGAAAAATTTCTTTCCTCTGTGATTTAAAAAAAAATTGAAGTTACAAGGTTTGATCTTGGGAGATTGTCGGCCGAGCGGACAGCACGCTGAACTTGTGATCCTGTGGTCCTGGGTTCGATCCCAGGAACCGGCGAGAAACAATGGGCAGAGTTTCTTTCACCCTATTCCCCTGTTACCTAGCAGTAAAATAGGTACCTGGGTGTTAGTCAGCTGTCACAGGCTGCTTCCTGGGGGTGGAGGCCTGGTCGAGGACCGGGCCGCGGGGACACTAAAAAGCCCCGAAATCATCTCAAGATAACCTCAAGATAAGATTGGAATTGTTATATCTATCTATCAAGGATAGATAGATAGAAGCTTTAGTTGTCAATAAGTTGCTGGGACACCTTATCAGCAGCATAGTTTCCATGAAACAGTATGGTCACCCGTCCAGTTACTGGCCACGCCTAACTGTTATTAACGTTGCTGATCATACCACGACGGTATTATTGAATATGTGTAAATTCTTGAATTATTAATAGTGAAAGACTGCGTTCTTAATTATAGGATTCTTGGAATTGGAACAATTCTTAATTTTTTAACTGGTGGCATTGAACTTTGAGGGGCTACACTTCTGGCACTTCTGGAACTGGAATGATCAATGTCTCACTTCTGGAACTGGAATGATCAATGTCTCACTTCTGGAACTGGAATGATCAATGTCTCACTTCTGGAACTGGAATGATCAATGTCTCACTTCTGGAACTGGAACGATAAATGTCTCACTTTTGGAACTGGAACGATAAATGTCTCACTCTGGAACTGGAACGATCAATGTCTCACTTCTGGAACTGGAACGATCAATGTCTCACTTCTGGAACTGGAACGATGAATGTCTCACTTCTGGAATGATAAATGTCTCACTTTTGGAACTGGAACGATAAATGTCTCACTCTGGAACTGGAACGATCAATGTCTCACTTCTGGAACTGGAACGATAAATTTCTGGAACTAAAACAATGCGACCCAAAATTTTCAAGGGTCAGAGAAGAAAGAATTATAAAGATGTCAGCTCTAAAGCTCTTGATACCGGAGATGAAATCCTTAAGTGTCAAGACTCCCGACTCCGGAACCGTGAAGTTCTTAATAAAGGTGTTGCTAGCAATATTACTCTGGAGTGGGTTATAGTGTGAACACACACTTCTCTTACATGTGAAACACAGCGCCTGTAGTTCTTCATGTAAGTGCTGGAACACCTCGCTGGAACACTTACACACCCGGCCTGAGGTGCTGGAACACCTCCCTGGAACACTTACACACCCGGCCTGAGGTGCTGGAACACCTCCCTGGAACACTTACACACCCGGCCTGAGGTGCTGGAACAACTCCCTGGAACACTTATTCTCCCGGCCTGAGGTGCTGGAACACCTCCCTGGAACACTTACACACCCGGCCTGAGGCGCTGGAGTACCTCCCTGGAACACTTATACTCCAGGCCTGAGGTGCTGGAACAACTCCCTGGAACACTTACACACCCGACCTGCGGCGCTGGAACACCTCCCTGGAACACTTACACTCCGGGCCTGCGGCGCTGGAACAACTCCCTGGAACACTTACACTCCGGGCCTGCGGCGCTGGAACAACTCCCTGAAACACTTACACTCCGGGCCTGCGGCGCTGGAACAACTCCCTGGAACACTTACACTCCGGGCCTGCGGCGCTGGAACACCTCCCTGGAACACTTACACTCCGGGCCTGCGGCGCTGGAACAACTCCCTGGAACACTTACACTCCGGGCCTGCGGCGCAGGAACACCTCCCTGGAACACTTACACTCCGGGCCTGCGGCGCTGGAACAACTCCCTGGAACAAACACCAATCAACGATCCCCCGGATGGGGAGCCTGAGAAGCGACCCTGGACAGGATCAATTGCATCAAAAGGATCAGGTTGTCAGAGGAGTACAATGGCCCAAATAACTCTCTATTGAACTCCATTATAAGTCGGAGGAACCACAATTGCCTGTGGTGGAGGCGTCCTCCGCTCTCATAAAGCCACAATTGCACGGTTCTGACTCGAGGGATCCACAAGTTTCTGACATTTTTTCTAAGGTTCATTTTCATTTGGGTGGAGAAAATTGGTCTATACGATGTGTCATTTCTTTTTCCATCCCTCGGGTCTGTGGGAGACTGTTTTGTAATGTTCAATGAAACAAAATTGGATACGCTGTTCTTGGAAAATGTTCTTTGTCGAGGTTAATGTCATCTACGAGGAAATATTTATAAAATATTTTAAGTTCATATTGTGAAAATTATGATGATAAGGTCATGAAACGCTGTGAAGTATTATGCCCTGCTGACCTGAGAAGGAAAAACATTGCCGGGTATCGGGCCTCGGGCTCAGACAATTGTAAAGCGACACACACAAACCTTAAGACATCGGTATTGACAAAGGACCTTTAAGACCAGGTAAGTGTTTAAGCGCATTAGCGAGAGTCTCTCAAGATATAGTGTTACAACTGGACCCTTCGCTTCGTAGACAAACAAAGTCCCCTTGGTTGTTTGTCCGTCACGTAACAATGCATTCCTTGTGATTTGCCGCAGAAAATCCTGTGTAATTAACTTAAAACAGATTTTATGGTCTGTGCGCTCGTCTATCGATAAAGGGATGGGAGTTCATTTAGCAGAAAATCTCACCTAACTTAGCCGGCCGCCTCCTCTTTACCGATTCCTATCTTGTAGGCTTTACTCCGTGGCCATCACTTAAGATCAGCCAATCACGCGGCTCCAGGAATGGGTGGAGCGATCGCCTGGCCAATCAGGCGAGAGCCCCGCCCCTGCCCCGCCCACTGAGATCAGTGGGCGGAGCCAGCAGGCGGGCTAGCCCGGGCTGCATGAAGGCCAGAGAAACCATTCACCTCTCAGTGCGTGGCGGGCGAGGGCGTGTGTGTATCTCCGGTCTCTCGCGAACACTTGAGTGTAGCTGCCACCACGCCCGCCGCCACGGACACACCTCACCCACTCGGCGCCATGACAGCCGTGGAGCTGGAGCAGGAGGAAGAGATCAACGTGGATGGTGACAGTCGCCCCGGGTCTCCCGATCCGCCGCTATGCCCCACTGCCCTGCGCCCCTCCGCTGCCCCGATGCCCAAACCGGCCGTCAATGCCGCCAGGCTCTCTTTTAGCATATCGGCGCTACTCGGCGACAAAGATCGCACCAGTGACGAGGACGAGAGGCGGGTGGAGACCGACGACGACGACGACCACGACGACGACGAGGAGAGTTACGAGGAGGTCGTAGACGACTACCACGGCGGCTATGGCACATTTGCCGGCTTGCCGCACCACTACGGCCCCCTGGCCGGAGGAGCGCCCACGGTGTTACGTGTTCCGGCCCACAGACCCTTGGGCATGGGGTACCCTGGCCTCCCAGGGCTCGGGGGCGGCCACCCTTGGATTCCCGGCTTGCCAGTGCCACCATTTGACCGACCCACTGCCCTGGCACCGCACTACCCGACCCTTGACAGGCTCACAGGTTAGTCCACTTATCACTTTTGTCATGTTTAGCTGTGCTCTTGCCGGCGTAATGGTGTGGTGAGGCAACAAATAGGCCTACTGTGGTGTGGCAGCTGGGATACAAGCCTACTGTGATGTGAGGCAGGAGTGCCACGAGTAGACCTACTGTTTTATGTGGTAGTAATCACAACTGTGATTTTTGTATTATCTGTATTTCAAAAGATTGTTGTATTATCAGTAAGCCGCAAACCGCCAGCACAGCCCTCATCACGAGCTAAATAAAGACATTAACTGGGGACTTTCCCATCAGTCGTGTTGTTATCGGAGGAGGCATATCCTTTTCTCATAGGACAGGGAACAACCATTCGTTTATCCCTATCCAACCACCAACCCCCCCCCCTCCCTCCTACCACTAAGAACGGAACACGCGCCGACACCTGATCGTAAAAGATCGGAACGATTATGTTCCCAACACTAATATCCCTCCGAGGAGCGGCGCTGCGATCTCTTTCAGAGCGGGATGAAGGGAGGAGGGGGGGGGTCCTGGCGCCATGGGAGAGGTCGTTAACCTCTGCTCCTGCTAACGACATGTGACTACTTGAGCCGCGGGGGTCGTTCAGCAATTAGCTGAAAAGCAGGCATTAATGCGGTCCCCCACACCGATCTTACCCCCCCTCCCCCCTCCCTTACCTCGGGATATTTATTTGGAATGAATTATTATTTTGGTAATTATTCACTTGCTAGGAATGAATTTTCATCTGATCTGATCTTAACCGCGAGTTAGACGGGGTATTGGTTGTAAGATCTAGACCCATTCCTTCGCGGTCGTCTTAGGCGCGAGATTAATTCAGGGAGATACACCTATTCGCGCCGTGACGAGCGGTATAACTGGCTGTTAGTTAGGTAATTAACCGGCCGGGATAAGTGGTGGCTTGAGCGTCTGGTTAACTAGGGACAAGCCAGGATGGTGCGGTAATATCCAGGAAGATTCTTGGGGGGGACAGATTCACGAAGCAGTTACGCCAGCACTTACAATCCTATTCATCTTTTCTCAATCTTTGGCGGCTTTGTTTACAATTATTAAACAGCTAATGAGCTCCGAAGCACCAGGAGGCTGTTTATAAGAACAACTAACAGTTGATTGGGCAGTTTTCATGCTTGTAAACTGTTGAATAAATGTAACCAAAGCCGTCAAAGATTGAGGAAAGACGTACACGTTCTTAAGTACTTGCGTAACTGCTTCTTTCTATTATATATATATATATAATATTTTATATATATAAAATATTATAATATTATATGGGAGGTGAGTGAGTGTTTTAAAAAAGAGAAGCGATGACCAATCACACTCCCGGTATGATTGTGGTATGATTGTGACAATCATACAATCTATATTGTGACAATCATACCATCATTCAGAGTATGAAAAGAACGTAGAACTATTGTTCCTGTTTTTTTTTTTTTTAAGCTGACTGATGTTAGAATGTTTTAAAGAGATGAAACAATGCTGCGTCTCCCTGTTTGTGTGGCTTGTTTTATGAGCATTAAACAACACCTGTTTTAACATGCAAACACTCTAGCTACATTACGAGGAAGGATTAATATCCATTACGTGACTAAACCCTGAAACAGGTTAAGTGTCCGGCCGTCAGTTTAATAACGATGTTGAGGCGTTCACTTTTTTATTAAACACCATCCTACCAGGAGATGGCCCGGCTATAATGAGTTTATAAAGTAAACAACGGTTGAGTAGCTGTAGATCTCAGGGGCTATATGGGTTGCCGGTTCTCATCTCCCCTTACTATCCTTTTCCTCCCCTCCCAATATCACCTCCCCCTCTAACCCTTACCCTCTCCCAACTCATAATATATTTATAGGATCGAATAACACGTCGATTGAGAAACAGCGTGAAGGAAGGTAGCCGATGACAGCTGGGAGCGATAGGGACTCACGCTCTCAGCAGCCTAACCTACACATACACACACAGACAGACAGGCCGCTGATAACAGCTCCTGCACGCTGATAACACCTACAGGAGTTCACTACGGACCCACGGACACACTCTCCTCGTCCTAGCACACCCGCTACCAATCGTAGACCAATCTATGTTGTTAAACCAATCGTCAACAGACGAAGCCTCGCCTGCGGAATATGGGCGGCCCATATAAGAAAATCCACAGCGGACAGCGGGTGACAGACAGCCTAATGTGTGTGTGTTTGTGTGAGAGGCAGAGCAGATCCATCAATAATTTTCCTGATCGCGATCACAAGGATTTTTTTTTTATTTTTCTACTATCGACGCCTGTGTAGAGGAGGGGATTTTTTTTTTTTTTTTACCTTTATGCATTAATCTTTGGCAGGCGTCGAACCTGTGTCAACCAGGTAGAGAAGCCGAGCTATAAGCCGGGTGAAGGAGGCGGCCAGCGCCTGGCTGTTTCTCCGGCTTAGGCTGGATAGAATCTAACGGATAGGAAAGAAAAATTCATCCCCCCATCAAATGCGGTATATATATTTTGTTTTTATTATTTCCAAATATTTAATAAAATTACCGTTTTAATATCTGCAGCTGGTCTAGATATCACATCCGAAATATTAATAATACTCATGTATAACATTGAAAAGTTAAAAGTTTAAAATCATTTTATTCCAAAGTAGATTCAAATCCTAAATAGACTCTAAAACCCATTCAAGTTTCTACATTCATATTATCAGTCTATAAATAATAGTGTAAGTAACTTAACTACTTATTAAATAGTAACCCCTTGTTTCATTTTAATTTCCACATTAATTATCAATTATATTGCATAGACATTAGAATAATATTTTTGTCATTAAATTACTACTGTAATAATTACAATATTGATTATAAAATAATATAATTAATAAAATACTTATAGTATAATAATCATAATAAAAAAAATATATATATATATATATATATATATATATATATATATATATATATATATATATATATATATATATATATATATATATACAAACAAAATTATTCAGTGATTACCTTAATCAGATAATGAGATAATTCTGGTATTAGGAATATACAATGAAAGTAATATCTCTTATACATATTAACACCGAGAGTAGTATACCAAATAGACATATATATATATATATATATATATAACGAAAGAACTGCCCCTAGTTGATATACTGTATACACGATATAGATAGATAGATATATCTGATAGATCTACACAATGAAAGGAGATAGATCTACACAATGAAAGGAGATTGCCTCAACACGATTTATTATACTCTGAATAAACTTCAGCACTGTAGACAGTGCTGAAGTCTGCAGAACAGTCTGAACAAGTCTGAACAACCAGAACATTGGTTGTTCGTTCAGCCAATTTGTGAATAAACAACCAGTGAAACATTCCAAAAATATCCAGTAAGATAATTTCTCATTTATTTATTTATTTATTTATTTATTTACATGTCATATATATATATATATATATATATATATATATATATATATATATATATATATATATATATATATATATATATATATATATATATATATATATTATATATATATATATATATATATATATATTATATATATATATATATATATATATATATATATATATATATATATATATATATATATATATATATATATATATATATATATATATATATATATATATATATATATATATATATATATATATATATATATATACCCCGCTTTTCAACGTATATAAGCTCAGGGGTTCACCTAAGTCCTGGTCAACGTATTAGTCATTAACCAAGTCTCACGGCCATTTTAACCCTCCAGAGGGCAATATAGGCCTTTAACCTCAACACGGGAAAAATTAAGAACTAAAAATAAAGTTTCAGCTTACAAATAAAGATTAATTGTAATAAGGACCATTTGGTGGCGTTTTATTATTAATACGCCAACGAATGGTAAGAAGAATAAAATTGAATTCAGTTTTCACAATTTCGTAAATGGCAACATGATTTACTATAAACATTATTTATTCATTGAGCATAGTGCTTCTTAATTATGGCAATTTATATATATATATATATATATATATATATATATATATATATATATATATATATATATATATATATATATGAATGAAAACTCACACCCCAGAAGTGACTCGAACCCATACTCCCAGAAGCAACGCAACTGGTAACTACAGGGCGCCTTAATCCGCTTGACCATCACGGCCGTCAAAAGGAAGTGATAGCCGAGGCTATTTGAGCCACTTCCCCGACGGCAACTCGGATGGTAATCTTGGGCATAGCATTTCACCAAATCACCTCATTCTTTGGGGCACACGTGAGGAACACAAATGCGAACAAGCCTGAATGGTCCCCAGGACTATATGCGAATGAAAACTCACACCCCAGAAGTGACTCGAACCCATACTCCCAGAAGCAACGCAACTGGTAACTACAGGGCGCCTTAATCCGCTTGACCATCACGGCCGTCAAAAGGAAGTGATAGCCGAGGCTATCACTATTTGAGGCTATTTGAGTCACTTCCTTTTGACGGCCGTGATGGTCAAGCGGATTAAGGCGCCCTGTAGTTACCAGTTGCGTTGCTTCTGGGAGTATGGGTTCGAGTCACTTCTGGGGTGTGTGTTTTCATTCGCATATAGTCCTGGGGACTATTCAGGCTTGTTCGCATATATATATATATATATATATATATCCCCCCCCCCCCAGGATGCAACCCTATAACAGTTACCTAACTCTTGCGTATACCCATTTACTGCTAGGTGAACAAGCGCATTAGGTGAAAAGAAATATGCCAAAATATTTCTGTTCCACTAGGGGAATTGAACCCGAGATTCCCGATAAGTGAATCGAGAATGAAGCCAACTAGACTACGATGTTTTCTTTTCAAATAGATTAATCTACGATACGTAAATATTTCTTGCAATTAATTAATTATTAATTAAATTAATGTAATTATAATTCTTCATTACATGTTGAACTAAATGTCACTAACTAGAAACATTACCA